CGCGGCGGGCCCGGCAGCGCGGCGGGCCCGGGGAGGCGGCCCGAGGCACCGGGAGAGGAACCGGGAGCGGCTCCGGGAGCGGCGGCTCCGGGCGCGGCCGCTGGGGAGGATCCCGGGGCCGGTGCGGCCTGGGCGCGCCGCGGGGCACCCTGATGGCCGCGCTCGGTACCGGGGCCTTCGTGTGGGACGGGCAGCGCATCGAGGAGGAGGAGCTGAGGCGGTGAGGGGAGAACGGCGGGAATAACACCGGGAATAACACCGGGAATAACACCGGGAATGGGATACCGGGAATGGTGGGATGCTGGGAACACCGGGAACACCGGGGGTACCGGGAATGGGACATGGGGAATAGCGGGAATAGCGGGAACACTGGGAATGGGATGCTGGGAATACTGGGACTAAACCCCGGGAATTTGGCTCCCCATCCCGTCCAACCGGGCCTCAGGTCGGCGCAGGAGCTGCAGCAGCTGCAGGGCCCCGGGCAGGCCCCGCCGCCGGAGCGCGGCTGGGAGCCGGTGATGGAGCGCGAGCACTTCCGCCTCTGGCGCCGCCCCATCCCGGGCTCCGCGCTCTTCCAGTACCGAGGTGCGCTCCCCCGGTTCCCGAAATCCTGAATCCCGAATTCCCAAAATCCTGAATTCCCAAAATCCTGAAATCCCAAATCCCCAATTCCTGAAATCCCGAATTCCCAAAATCCTGAAATCCCGAATTCCCAAAAATCCTGGGATCCCCAATTCCGAAATCCCAACTTCCTGAATTTCCAAATTCCCAAAAATCCTGAAATCCCAAATTCCAAAATTCTCAAAATCCCAAGTTCACCAATCCCCAATTCCCACATCCCTGAAATTGCCAAATTCCTGAATTCCCAGAATCCCAAATCCCCAAAATTCCCGAATTCCCCAATCCCCAACTTCCCCAAAATCCCTGAAATTCCCAAATTCCCCAAATCCCGGCTCTGCCCTCTTCCACTACCGAGGTGAGGGATCCTCAAAATTCCAGAATTCCCCAAATCCCCAGATTTTGGGATTCCCAGGATTTTGGGATTCACCTTCATGGAATTTTTTTGGGATTTTCCCGCAGTTTTCGGCTCCTACACTGACGTCACTCCCAGGCAATTCTTCAACGTCCAGGTGAGCGGAATTCCCGAAAATTCCTTGGAAATTCCTGGAAATCCCCAAAAATTCCTTGGGAATTCTTGGAATTCCGGCTGGGTTTTGACTCCAGGGCTGGGAATCTTTGAGAATTCCGGGTGGATCCCAGAAAAACCTGGAAAATTCCCATTTTTGATCCCATCCCGGGAAATCCCCGGAAATTCTGGATCCGCCCTGAGGGTTTTCCGGGATCGGGGTGGGGGCAGGGATTTTTCCCTGGAATTCCGGGGTTTCCTGGGTTTCCTCATCCCAGTTTTTCCCCCATCCCGATTTTCCCAATCCCAGTTTGTTGTGATCCTGGTTTTCCCTGGGATTCTGGGTTTTCTTCACCCCGATTTTCTCTGGAATTCCAGGTTTTTTCCTGGTGCTCCCGATCCTGTTTTTTCTTGGCATTCCCATTTTTCTCTGGAATTCCAGGATCTTTCCCCAATCCTATTTTTCCCTGGCATTTTGGGTTTTTCCCCCGTCCCGTTTTTCCCTGGAATTCTGGGATTTTCCCTGGAATTGTGGTGTTTATATCCTGATCTTTTTTTCCCCATCATTCTGGGATTTATTCCCGGGTTTTCCCCAATCCCGTTTTCCTGGGATTTTCCCTGGAATTCCGGGATTTATTCCCGGGTGGTTCCCGTTATCCCGGTGTTGGCTGTTCCCAGCTGGACACCGAGTACCGCAAGCAGTGGGACTCGCTGGTGCTGAAGCTCGACGTGGTGGAGCGCGACCCGGCCACGGGCTCCGAGGTGATCCACTGGGTCACGCAGTTCCCGGTGAGAGAGAGGGGATCTGGGATTGGGATTGGGATCTGGGATTGGGATTTGGGATCCGAGGTGATCCACTGGGTCACGCAGTTCCCGGTGAGAGATTTGGGATCTGGGATTGGGATCTGGGATTGGGATTTGGGATTGGGATTTGGGATCTGGGATCCGAGGTGATCCACTGGGTCACGCAGTTCCCGGTGAGAGATTTGGGGTCTGGGATTGGGATTTGGGATTGGGATTTGGGATCCGAGGGGATCCACTGGGTCACGCAGTTCCCGGTGAGAGATTTGGGGTCTGGGATTGGGATTGGGATTTGGGATTGGGATCTGGGATTTGGGATCCGAGGGGATCCACTGGGTCACGCCGTTCCCGGTGAGAGAGAGGGGATTGGGATTGGAACTTGGGATTTGGGATCTGGGATTGGGATTTGAGGGGATCCACTGGGCCGCGCAGTTCCCGGTGAGCCCCTGGGATTTGGGATCTATTTTGGGGTCTGGGATCAAAGTTTGGGATTGGGGTCAGGATCTGGGACTGGGGCTGATGCTGTTCCCTGAGATCTGGGATGGGGATGGGGGATGGGATTGGGATCCAGATGTGGGATCAGGGATTGGCCGGGCTGTGGGCTCTGACCGCGCCGTTCCCGTTGCAGTACCCGATGTATTCCCGGGATTACGTTTACGTCCGGCGCTACAGCGTCGACAGCGACCGCAACCTCATGGTGCTCGTCTCCCGGTGCGGCATCCGGAAAAACCACGGAACTCCCAAAAACAACCCCCTGGAATTCCCGAAAAAATCCCTTCTAGACTTCCCGAAAAATCCCCCATTGAAATCCCAAAAAACCCCTCATGGAATTCCTTCAAATTCCCCCTGGAATTTCCCAAAAAAAAAAAAACCTTCATGGAATTCCCAAAAAAACCGTCTTGGAATTCCCAAAAACCCCTCAGAATTCCGGGAAAAGCCCCTGGAATTCCAGGGGAAAAAATCCCAATGGAATTCCCAAAAAATCCCTCCTGGAATGCTGGGAATTCCAGCCAAAAATCTCAACAATTCCCATCATATTTTTGGGGAATTTTTTGGCTTTTTCCCTGCCCCGCACCCCACCCCAAATTTTGGGATGGTCCCGAATTCCCAAAGAATTCCCAAATAATCCCGCAGGGCCGTGGAGCATCCCGGGATTCCCGAGGACCCCGAGCACGTCCGGGTTCGGAGCTACGAATCCCACATGGTGATCCGGCCCCACCGCGGCTTCGACGAGGTGGGAGTGCCCAAAAATCCCGGAAAATCTGGGAAAAATCCTGGGTAATTCCAGAAAAATGGAAAAACCCCAGAAATTCATGGAAAATCCTGGGATTGTGGTGGGGTTGGTGTCGATTCTGGGGGTGGGAGTGGGAAAAGGGGGAGGAAAATCCCAAAAATGGGGGGGAAAAGCCCCAAAAATTGGAAAAAACAAGGAAAAAAAAGGGAATTTTGGGGGGAACTTTTGGGAATTTGGGATCTGGGGCAATTCCTGTTGGGAATTTTGGGGTTTTTGGTGTTTCCCAGAACGGCTTCGATTACCTGCTGACGTACAGCGACAACCCCCAGACCGTGTTCCCGCGCTACTGCCTCAGCTGGATGGTGTCCAGCGGTGAGCATTCCCAAAAAACCCCCAATTCCTAAAAATCCCGGGGAAATCCGGGGAAAAAGGAAAGGAACAAGGGCGAGGAAGAGAAGGAAAAACTGGGGGAAAACTGGGGAGGGGAAAGGGGGAAAAAATTTGGGGGGAAAAGGAGAAGTTGGGGAAGGAAGGAGGGAAATTGGGAAAGGTGGGAAAATGGTGGGAGAAGGGGTAAAATGGGAAAAGCCAGAAAAAAGATGGAAAAATGGGGTTGGAAAAGGGAAAAATTGGGAAAAAAATTTAAAAAAAAAATTTAAAAGGGGAAATAAAAGGGGGAAAAATAGGGAAAATTGGGAAGGGGGGTTGGGAATTATTTCCCACCCTTTGGGGTCGCCAGGAATGCCGGAGTTCCTGGAGAAGCTGCACTCGGCGGCGCTGAAGGCCAAGAAGATGGAGCTGGAGCTGCGCGACTGCCTGAGCCCGGCCAAGGGCCCCGAGCCCCGCGGGGCCGCGCGCCTGGAGTACGCCTGAGCAGCGGCGGGAAAACGGCAGGAAAACGGCGGGAAAACAACAGGAAAATGGCGGGAAAACAACAGGAAAATGGAAAACGG